CAAAAAAAAAGACCAGGACCATACTAAATGTTCAAATTATAGACCAATCTCATTAATTAACTCTGATATAAAAATATATGCTAAGGTCTTAGCACTACGTCTTGAAAAATGTATTAGTAAATTAGTTCATAGTGACCAATCTGGCTTTATTCCACATCGTTCAGCTTCAGAAAATATACGTCGACTGCTGCATGTAATCAATGAGACTAAAGATAAAAATAACCCATGTGCAGTTTTATCTATAGATTTATGGATATTTTAATAATTTATAATATTTTGGCCTCATTGTAACAAACACCATAATGATTTTTAGAGCAGTGGAGAAAACAATACTTTACAAAAATAAATGTCACCGACAGATCCCCTTATGGCACAATAGGAACATCAAGTGTGGTTCTATACCATTCACATCAGAACAGTGGTCAAAGCAGGGAATAAAAACTTTGGCTGACATATGGAATGACAATTGCATGCTTAGTTTTCAGAATATAACTGAAAAATTTAATGTACCAGCATCATCCTTTTTCTTATATTTGCAATTGTGTTCTGCTCTCAGGGCATATGGAGTCCCTTGGGGATCTGCTCTCAAAACACATCCAATCCTTCGCAGGTTTACTAATACCTCTCTACAAAATGTCGTCTCAGGTATCTATTCCCGCCTGCTTGAGGCTAACCAAAAGCAACTCTCAATACCAATGATTTGGGCTAGTGAATTATCAAAGGATCAGATTGATTGGGAGACGGTTTGGGAAAACATAGTTTGTTCTTCAAAAAATCCAAATCACCAGGTAATACATTTTTTATTTCTGTCACAGACTGTACTGGACACCAAAGAAACGTTTTCTCTGTAAATTATCCCCTAGCCTACCTAGGGTTGAAAAGTGGATCTTGTTTATTGAAAGGAAATTGTAAAGAGGCTACAACCACTCACATGTAGAATCAAAATCAATAAAAAACGTATTCAAAAAAAAAAAAAAAACTTCAGTCTGACCTTGGCAACTGAGATCTTGCTTTCTCCTTAGGGTTAAACAACTGCATCCTTACAGAATTTAACAAAATTATTAAGTAATTAAATGAGTGGTATTGATAATTGATGATGAACACCTGCTATTAACAAACAGAATCAATGAAAGAACACAAAACTATAGCTGACTTCAGTTTGTATCAAATTGATAGATAGACATAATTTTATGATTTTCTTCTTATTTATCTTGCAACTTTACTTACTTTACTAGAAAATTGCATTAAATTAATCAAAATTGTACATAAGGTGAAACTAAACAGCCATAGTTTAAATAACATTTTATTAAGTAAAGTGCTCTAATAATGATGAACATATAAATTATATTTTAATCTAAATCTTTTTTTTTCAATAATAGCCTAACAGTTCTTAACTACAGAGAAAACTTAAAATACATTTAAGAGTTTAAGCAACAACTTTAGTATGTTGTTGTTGTTTGTCAACTTTATTTAATTCTTACTTTTTTATGTTTTAAAACTTTTCTACTTTATTCAGTATGTTTAAAAACACCTCAAATTCTTTTGTGTATGAGAGAGAGAGAAGCATATTTGAGTGTGTGTGTGTGTGTTGGTTTTTGTGGTTTACACGGACTTTTGACCTGAATACGCACCAGCATTACACAGACATTTCTGCTTATAAGGACTGACCCCATGTCCTCGTAAACAAAACAGCGCGGATGCACTTCTATATGTCCCAAAAACATTTCCTCGAAGTTTGGCGGCATGTCTTAATATACCACAAATGTCAGAAATGATACAATACACTGTGTGTGCTCTGAGACAGTGGGTGCGCCCCTGTAGCCCGGAACCGGTACAGCAACTGCGTCATCAAAAATTTGCATGTTTTACGCTTGTGTATCTTTGGAGGACTCTGATTGGCTAGATCGGCGCCTCGAGGCGCGAAATCATAAAAACAAAATGGCGAATGTGGGCGGGACTACTCTACACTAACTCATCATTGTGTAACATAAAATTAGCTCATTTTATGAATATTAATAATCAACAATAACGGTTTATTCTTAATTATTAATATTCCGGCTTAAGCTTCAGTCAGTTTGGTCAAACAAACATATGATTGTAAATGATCATGCTCGCGCGACCGAGCGGATTCCCAGATTATGAATATTAATTATAAACAATAACGAATTATTATTAATCATTAATATTCCGGATCAATTTATTGTTAATTTGACCAAACAAACACAAGCAGAGCCGCCGCTCTTCCGAGCGGATACGGTAATCTATTCATTTAGAAAAAGGGAATTTAATTACTACTTCTTGTGAAGTAGATTAATCATTTAAAAGTTTTAAACAACTTATAATAGCAAGGCAGGGGAATCTGTATTTCAGTGACATTTTCTCGTGAGGCAAACAATACAATTCATTTAATTATAATGGAATTTATTGACTAGTCAGACGTAACGAACAAACAAACGCACAAACATACATTAAGCACAAAACAAAGGTAAACCACGTGGAGATATCGGGTCTATAGAACGTGTAACAGCAAAGAGAAATAGTAAAACTAGAAAATATAGATTTCAGATTAAAGAGTGACAAAACTTTCAGTTCCACACGCACCATTACGGACCACCAAGGTTATAAAAAACACCTTTTTGATAAAAGGGGCACAGCTTAATCGCATAACTAAAATCACCTGGGGCCTCATGTATCAACGCTGCGTACGCAGGTTTCACGCTCAGAATCGCTCACGTTTGGATTTACTAACAATGAACTGAACGTGGGAATGTGCGCAGCTTCACGGCAGCTTTCTGGCAGGCGTACGCACATTTTTTGTGCGTGTCTGTTTTATTTCCATTGGCGACTCCTAGAGGCAGTTGTGTTAAATTCTTCTCTACAAAGTGTCTGATCCTTGCAATGGCAGCTGTATGAGACGGGTTCATATAGTAGGTATGTAAGATTTCCATACCATACAGTTGACCAGCTAAACATTAAAGCACAATTTGCAGCGGTCGCCTGTTTTCCCAATGTAATCTGAGCGATCTACCGCACACACATTGCTATAGAGACACTATCTGAAGATGAATTTGTATGCGTGAATCAGAAACATTTCCATTCAATAAATGTGCAAATAAAATATGATGCACAAACTTATTGATGATTCCTACTTGTCTTTCTCTTGATAAATAGTGGGCAAAATCTGATATGTAGCGGGGAAAAAAAAGAAAGAATTCATTAGACGCTGGATTCGAGCCGAGTTTATGCTCGAACATGTCAGTACATGATCACATGCTTCTTCTGAGGTGCGCCACTGAGACTGCTAAGGGTACTGCAACATTTTTCAGTTATAAATCACACTATTTCTTTTTTAAATGCACTCAGTGCGATGTTCAGACCCAACTGTGTTAACCGTATCAGCTAAACTCTCCCACTCTATTTTTTTCTTTTGTTGTTAATTCCGGAGAACAAACTTGCAAATAACACCGCTTTAATTTCTCCGGTCTACCTCCGAAAGCAGCACCTCCAATTCACATTCTGTTCAAAGTTTCTCTTTTTGCTTGCTTTTGACATTGCTTTTTCGTTGGGTTTTGCCATTAGCATAGTCATAAGCATATTCATACGGGGGAGGAGGCAGGGAGGGGTTTTGTGCTCGTGCATGTTGCGCTCAGTATCACGTTCATTCAGATGTACAAAAGAATATGCGTGAGATTCGGCGTACGCAGTGTTTCATACATCTGAATTTTTTTCTGCGTACGCACATTTACAGCTTTGTGCGTACGCAATGTTTTAGTAAGATTTCCACGCAAGTCTTCGTACATGAGGCCCCTGGTCTTTCATGTCTGGCGGTCTCTCTTGTGCGTCTCTCTTCCGTCGTGATGAAACTACTCTTGAAGTCCTTTGATGCGTGGAGTTTGTAATGCAGTTCGGACGAACACGATCGCAAACTTTAAACTGAATTTACTTTGCCGGAAAATAAAGAAAGCGTGGCGGGAAAAAGTCCATGCGGCTTAGAAAGCCATGTGTGGCCCGAGGGCCACCGTCAATGATGTTCCTTTTTGGGACGTTCTTTTTCTGCCCAGATGTTTGGGGGGAAGTGTGCTTATACCTGCGGGTCACGTGACAACCCGTACAGCATTCTGACCAATGATTTCAGGGGAAAGTTTGCGCGCGAACCCTTTCTTTGTCTCAAGGCTCCTCGTATGCAAATTTGAGCGTCCGCCTAAAGCATGCGGACAGGCATTTAATACAGGGCTTTAAAGAATAAAGCAATGCGAGTTATGGTCTCGATCTATGCATCATGTGTTGTAAAATGTCAGCAGAAACCCATCGGTACCAAACATGGGGGGGGTTGAAAGTACATTAACATAATTTTTCATATCCTTACAATATTTATGCTTTACAAAGGCCTAAATAGAACATGCATACAGGTTATAAGAGAGGTTACACAGGTAAGAAAAGTCAGAAATGAGATACAAAGTTTACAAAACATAACACATTGGTTTTGTGCTGGTTCTGGATTTGATGAGTTCATTTTCTTTCTGTCGGAACAGCCTCGTGGGGGTGTATGTGTGTGTGTGAGTGTATTTGGGCAGGAATGTCTTTGAAGTTTTCCTGCTTATCTATCCAGGCCCCCTGAACAACTTAAGCTGTCACGAAAATCCAGACTTCTTGGAGCCAGGAGTCGTAAAACCGTTCTTTTGGACCGTGATAAAATCAATAAGAAATTTTATCTGTGGACTGTACGCTACAATTGTGATCATTGTGCTGGAAACCTTCTTAAAAGTAAGTTAATGTTGTTTACTTATTGGTTCTACTTGATTTTATGTAATTTATTTATTTATTAAATGTATATTGCTAAATCCTGCAATTTAACATGATCTTTAAATACTTTAAATATCTTAAAGTCTGAGTGACTTGAAATAATTTATTATCGAGACATTAAAGTATTATATAATATTACGTCTAATCATAAAGATAAACACCAAGGTCTATATCATATATGGGTATTTAAACTATTAATATTAGGATTCACGATCTAAAAATCACGATTACGTGCACTTTAATCAGCGCAAAGTTGACGTTTTGTAACTTCCTGTTTTGACCTGAGGGCCTTTCTGTACCTGATGCAAAGACATCTGCAAATTGAACGGATTTTAAGACACCTGTTATATTTAAGGTAAGTTATACTGCTGATAAATCGCTTCTCTGAGTGTTTGTGACAAAGTTTGGCCTGTTTGTGAGCATCCTCTAAGTTGCTGCATCTCGTTTTACAGTTTAAAATCAGCCAGCGCGTGATGCTAACAGATGTAGCATATTTGCCGATTTATATTTCTGAATGTAGGATATGTAACAATTCTGTTAACAATATATCTTTGATAGAACAGTGTAGACATCGAATGTGTTGACCTGTCTACAGTCTGTAAAGGGGAAATGCGTCCGAACAAGTCCATTGTTCTAATAGAGGTAAAGTTGGTTTATATTCACACATTCTGACTTTCCCCTTAATAATATAATTTCATAAAAGTATTATTTGCCAACTCTAAATAGCAAAATCATATTAGCAGCCAATGACTATCAAAGTACAACATTGTTCACTTTCAATTAAACAGTGTTAATGTTGTTTTCAAGTCATACTTGCATGTTAATTCCGATCGAATATTCAAAGTAATATGGTAAACTATAATATAGAGACTTCTAAATGAACGAATGTGTGAATATAAAACCAAATTTGCCTCATATTAGTGCTGTAAAACGACTAACTTACATGAAATATTACTGCTTCTACTTTTGTGCTTTTATACTTACAAAATTTAAGGAGAAGTGATATATCGCATTTATACATTATACAGTATATATTATAGTGTGAACTGCAAGTTCTCCAGAATACTGTAGTAATAAATAAGTTTCTGTAGGTTTTTTTAAAATATGGGGCTTAGAAAATAAAGACGAATATGCAAAAGTATAATTTCCGGGTTTTTTTTTATAAAATGTTTGCCACTCCATGTTACTAACAAAACAATTAAGCTTTGATATAATTTCAATTACATTTGCTTTGTCCCAGTAGAAATGTAATTTATTAATTCAAGCTCAAATGGAATTCAATAATAATAATTATTGTTGTTGAAGCAGAGACATCAAATTATGGCTGAAGTGAAAAGGCGAAGGAAAAAGCTCAGGCCACAGGAAGATGCCATACAGTTTTGTCGCTTGAAGAATGACAAAAATGGGCTGGATGGCAGATTCATTAATGACAATAAAGGTTAGAAAAATGTATTTATGGAGTCATGTTACAGGTATAATTTACCAAAAAGTGAAAAATGTGTCATTTAGTCACTCAAGTTGTTACAAACCTGTTGTAAGTTTCTATTATTTCACACAATTAAAGATATTACCATAATTTGATGTTTAGTAAATGATTTTTTTGTAAACTATCTCATTAAAGCGGCTTGTGCAATAAAGTTGTTTAAGGTTCGTTAAGTGTGGTTCACTCAGTAATTATATCTCAGTAATTATTTTCCCTCTTTGTTGTTTAGGGAGAGGTGTGTTCAGTTGTACTGAGTTTGATAAAGGTGATTTCCTGTTGGAATACAGAGGCGATCTCATAAGCAAAGAAGAATGTGAAAGGAGACAAAGATTATATCATGATGCTCTCAAAGTTTTCATGTTTGAGTTTCGCTACAATGGAAAACTCCTCTGGTATGTACAAATGTTTGATTCACATTTATTTTAGGCTTCTGTAATTTATCAAAATTTCTTGTTGTGATTACTTGCTGAAGATTTTATCTGTATACGGTATTATTACAATATTGACCTAAGCTGCTAAAACGATTACTTTATAATAACCAAAAATAACCTTTGTGTATTGCTTTATTCTATGTACATGTTTGTAGTAAATAAATGTTTTAAACAAATTAAATAACAAAAGTATGATAAAGTAGAATAGGTTACACTTTTTAAAATGACTCAGTAAATGTTAATATAAAATCTACAGTGAGAAATATACATATCCTATTTGTTAAAGCTATGACTGAATTTTATTAGTTATTAACTCCATTTAACAAAACAATTGACTTTTTAATGCATTACTGGCATTAAGAATTTAACATCACATGTAATTAATAAATGCTTTTGTAATTGTCATTAAACAGATTTTAGATAAATTAACTGATGTTAAATAGAACCTTTCTGTACAGAGGTAATGACCTACAGTTCTATAAATAGTTAGAGAATTTTAAATAGCCTAGGCCAGATTAACATGTTTGTTTAAAAAACTATGGTCAAATTCTCCAAGTATTTGACACTGTTAAGAAGACCAGTGCCAACACAACAATCTGGACATAATTAAAAGCCACTCTAAAAGTAACAAAAAAAAAAAAAAAAACAGTTTTTGAATTTTTCAGCATAACATCAATGTTGTGCTTGTTCATTATCATGATATTATAAATTATTCAATATCAGCATATGTCTAGTTTGTATATATATTTTTTTAAAAAGTTTTGAATTATATTACATTGTAACAGTAAACATGTCAGTAGTTAGGTTTGCTGTGATTATTAGTAATAGTAAATAGTTCTTAAAGCTTAATGATTGCTGTTAAATTATTGGTGATCACAAAGAATATGATATCTCCTTGTTGTATTTTTTCAGTGGTGATAATATGTGTCATTTGTTTAGTGTCGATGCAGCCCGAGATGACGGTTCTCTAGGACGTCTTGTAAATGATGACCATATTAACCCAAACAGCAGGATGAAGACTATCTGTGTCGATGGAAAACTTCACCTTTGCTTATTTGCCACAAGGAACATCTGTGCTGGTGAAGAAATAACCTACAATTATGGCGATTCGGAGTGGCCATGGCGATGCTTGGTATGAAATCCTATACACTATTAATTGTGACTTATTGGATTATAGTAAAATATTAAAGGTCAGTTATTACCAAAGTTGAAGTTTTAGTTCTCCCAAATGTGTAAATTATGTTATTAATTATTCGCTCCATGTTGTTCCAATCCCCTGAGACCTTAGTTCATCTTCAGAACACAAAATAAGATTAGAATATTATCAAGCTACAAAAAAAAAAAAAAAAACTTTTGTGCGCACAAATATATATATTTTCAACAGATTCCTATTCCCATTGTCAGTTTAGGGTGTGCTTTTACTTTTTGCTTGTTTTGCTTGGCTGTACCTCTGGTGTGTTAGCTCGAATGCGCTTGTGCCTTGTTTTTAAAAAGAGGAAGTTGTGCACAGGCATCCTGGGTATACATCATTGCACAGAGCTCATTAATGTGCGAGATATACTTACACTGTGGAGGAAAAAAAAGTTAAATAGGGTTACTCTTTTTATTTTCTTTGTGCACATTTATTCCTATAGCTTGACAATGTTCTGATTGAACCATTAAAAGCATAAAGACTATTTTTTTTACTTGCTGGCTATGGAGGATGAGAGATCTTAGATTTTATTTGAAATACATCAATTTGTGTTGAATAGGTCTGTCACTATATCTTTGTTTGTTGAAGGATATTTTGCATCAAAATATATTGCGATAAAACTATTTCATAAAAATGTATGCTGAAAACATAAATAAAAGAATGTTATAAAAGTGCAGTGTAAAATTAACCGAGGCTGCAATATCTGCTACCAGATCTATTTTCAGTTGAAAATAAACCCACATAAAAATATACTATATTAATTTACAGTTAATACTGCAGTGTTTTATAACCATGATGACACTGACACCTCCAATAGTGATAGAGATGCTGCGCAATCAGCTCTAACATTGCTAGAATAGTTTTTTTTATGTATATTTTTATATTTTTATGTATTATTTATATATATATATATATATATATATATATATATATATATATATATATATATATATATATATATATATATATATTAAGGGTGGAGCTGAACCCGAATACGGTATTTGGAAAGGCACGAATAGCGTGTTTTTACGAATACTTATTTTGAACAAATTATTTGTATTCGGGAGCAAGAAAAGCATTATATCAAAAAGCTGCATTTCCTCCTGAGACCACAGTGCGTGAGTGAGAGAGAGAGAGAGCGAGAGAGACGCTCAGTCAGAGGGTGGGGCGGAGGTAAAAGATCTCTGGCACAAGCTTCTCCACAGCAGCAGACAGAAGGCTCGGCTGAGCGAAAAAAATACTTCTCTGCATCACTATTTTTGTTAAATAGATTTTTGTACCTTAATTGGGTTCCAGATGCAGTTTATAAACTTGTAGCGGAGTTTGTTCGGGATTTTCCATTACGCTGCATTTTTGAAGTTTGCAATCGGGTGCTCTGTTAGCGCTGTTAGCTCGTTAGCTTTGTTAGCGCGGTAATTTAGACAATAGACTGTTGGCAGAGTAACGTTAACGTTCGTTTATAAAGGTTAAAGCGATGTTTTTGCAGTTGTGAATGTATAGTATGCACTTATGGGAGTTATATGGTACGTCTAAATTACTGTCTTGCAGACAGCAAGATATATGCTATAGGCTAGTTAACCTTAGCATAGCTTCCCGTCACTTTTTATTAACTTGAAACTCCTCAAATACATTTGGGCACCATGAAAAAGAGTGAGAGTGCTGCTAAGCCATTTCTTGGTCCTCCACCAGTAAAGAAATAAAAATTCATGTTCTTTGTGGAAGCATTTTACAGTCAGTGGTGCTGCAGATAAAACAAAGTGATACTGTATAATGTGTGCAAAAGTGAAATCAGTAGAGGCAGAGATATTAAACATCTGTCAACATCTTCTATGCATAATCATTCATTCATTTCTTTTCGGCTTAGTCCCTTTATCAATCTGGGGTTGCCACGGTGGAATGAACCACCAATTTATCCAGCATATGTTTTACGCAGTGGCTGCCCTTCCAGCTGCTACCCAGCACTGGGAAACATCCATACACTCTCTTTCACACACATACAATAGGGACAATTTAGCTTACCCAATTCACCTATATTGCATGTGTTTAGACTGTGGGGGAAACCGGAGCACCCGGAGGAAACCCACGCCAACATGGGGAGAACCCAGTCGAGGCTCGAACCAGCAACCTTCTTGCTGTGAGGCGACAGTGCTACTCACTGTGCCACCGTGCAACCTTCTATGTAATGTATTATCACATGCACTAAAAGCATCCTCTCCTGATACTGTCTGTGAACCCCCCACAAGCATCAATCTCCTCAATCAGCACAGCTATGTTCTGCTAAATCCTCCACAAGCACCAAACCATCAACACAGCCACATTCTGCCCCAGCAAGTCAGTTTCAAACATAAAAAAGTTAAAAAAAAAAAACTTTGTGTCTGTTTTGTGGCAGGCAGATGACAATAGCAGGGCTGTATCTATTAGTATTATATAGAATACTTTTGTTCTGCCAGATCCCCCAGGCAGGGTTTTATTTAAATTTATTTAGCTAATTTTAGTTTTTGGAATTCTGTGCATTGGAAAGAAGTTCTTTCAGAAGAAGTACAGTTTTTTGAAATATTATTTGTTTTTATTCTGTCTATTCAGTGTCCTTCAACAAGAACGGTGGTGGTGGGGTTCATAATATTCACAATGGTATATTATTAGTTGTTGGTTTAACCATGGATGAGATAATGGCTTCTATGTTATTTTCTTTTCAATGACATTTCTTGTCACATGTTCAAAAACAACAACCAATATTGCATGTCTATAATTTATATAATGGGTATAATTAAACAATACTTTCACTATAACGTAAATTAGAAGTGTAATAGAAAAAATATATATTTTTGCGCCATTTTGAATTTTACTCTAATACAAATACAAATACAAATACTTTTCCCCCCTCAACAAATATAAATACCGGCTGCTCCGCACATCCCTAATATATATATATATATATATATATATATATATATATATATATATATATATATATATATATATATATATATATATATATATATATATATATATATATATATATATATATATATATATATATATATATATATATATATATATATATATATATATATATATATATATATATATATATATATATATATATATATATATATATATATATATATATATATATATATATATATATATATATATATATATATATATATATATATATATATATATATATATATATATATATATATATATAAATATATATATATATATATATATATATATATATATATATATATATATATATATATATATATATATATATATATATATATATATAT